GACACTTGATGTAAAGTGAGAGCTCTCAGCAGAAGGATAACATGTTTTTCCCATCTGTACAAACTGCTCCAGGGTCATTAAATTAATACACCGGCCATTTAAAATTCTGACGGGGGCAGATAAGATTTTAAAGTCTGAAGAATGACAGCCAGGATTTACCTGATGAGTCTATTGAGTCGTCTGCCATCAATTGCAGAGTTGCCATACAGAGCGGTCCGCTCACCCTGGAGTCGTCCTTCGATGCTGTCGAGCAGATAAAACAGAGCTTCCTGGGAGAGACTGAAAAGAGAGTGAGAAAAAAAAAAAAACATTATGTGGTGAACGAAAAGAAAACACGAGGTTCGCGTGATCAATAGCCCTTTTTTTTTTTTTTTTTTTTTTTGAAATGCGTAAAACATTTTTCCAGGCAATTTTCTGGATGCGCTCAAGGACTGCTGAAGGAATCCGGGTTTTAAAATGTCCTGTGTGTCCTCTGAGCACGAATTCGCCGGTTCTCCACCGATAAAGGTGGCGAAGGGAGGAACGTGGAGCCGCTCTTTTAAAAACTTAGAGAAATAGAGGTAAACAACGGCAGATAAGACAGTTCTACGGCTGTATTTTTGAACGGAGATAAATGCAGATACTGAATGTTTTCTGCCTTTTTTATTCCTCCTTCAATGCTCTTTTCTTTCTTTCCTCAGGGTGGTGGTAGTGAGGGGTCACCGGGTGAGGACCGGGGTCATCGTGGACTGGACAACAACCATTCACACGATGGTCACTTGGAGTCGGATCTAATCGTGAAACTGCAGTACACTGAGAAAACTCGCACATGTACTGTATACAGAGAGAAAGTATAAAAAAAACTCGATATAATTTTTAATTATATTTAAAAAGGAAACAAATTCATTAAAATATTTTTATATTTTAGACTGTGAATTCGACGTCTGCATTTATTAGTCATCAAACTAACAAAACATCATTTACAGAATGAATCAAAATCTTATTTTTGAGACATTTTTGAATGTTTTGGGAAAATAAAATTAGAATTAATAAAATCATATATGTTTAATTCAAGATCATTTTTTTGGTTAAATTTTTTTTTATTAGGCTTTTTTGGAAAATTATTGCTTCCTAAATAATATAAACAGAGCTAATGTGAGGCAAGACAGGTGTTCTCAAACTATGGTACGTGGACCACTAGTGGCACGTTTTTTGTGGATTTTTATGTCATTTTTATGTCATTTTTATCAGCCTGGGCCAACGCGGAACTTCCGAAACATTTGTGTAAACCAGTAAGGTTTGGTCTGTAATCAATCATCAAGTGTACTATTTTTTTATTTTATTTATAAACTGACATACAGGTTTGGTCTGTAATCAATCATCAAGTTTTTTCATTTTATTTATAAACTGACATATGTATTTATTTATGCTAAGCAGTTAAAAATAGAAAAATATCAAAAAATAAATACCATGATTTTTCATGATAATTTTTTTTTCCACAGCAAATATGTTTTTGTAAAAGAGGGAGTCGAGGGGGGAGAGAGGGGGAGGGGCGCGGTCGATTTAATTTTTTTGGAGACCGACTTAAATCTGGTCCAGTCTGCACAATAGGAAATGAACGTACAATGCGTGTGGATATTTGGAATCCATCTCTTCCATGGGCATTAAACTCTGGGTGGCCCTCATTGAATTGGACCATAAAGCCCGGGGCCGTTAGATCCCGAGCCCCGCTGTATAAAAGCGGCCACAAAAAAAAAAAAAAAAAAAAAAAAAAAAGAATTTATGACAATCTTTAATGGGTTTCAGGGTCAGGGGTCAGCCAACAATCGCTCCCTCTCCTTTGCAGGTTGTTTCCTAGTAACATTCTGATTAAGCTAGCAGCTTGAATTATATCCATGACATTCTGTAGTGTGCCATTCGTCGGTGCTAAGTCCTCTTCAGCGTGGCTGAAGTAGCATAGGCAAAAGCTGCCTTTTTTTCCCCCGCCGCTCCCTTATTGTCAGCGCGGGGCCTTGAAATTGTCATCTTTCCTTTTCCACTTTATTTGTGAGAGGAAGAAAGTGAATTAGTTGTGTTTTCCTGAAAACCCCTCTCTCTCTTATTGTATTGTTGCCAGCTTTCATGCCAAGGTCCCCCACCTCACTTTAGATGCCGCTGTTGTCTGCGTGTCATCATCATCAGGAGTATATTGTTGGCTGGGTGGAAGAGGGTCAGCCTCTCTGCAGCAATATTTCTCTGCAGTGTACAGCGTACCAACGCTGGGGTGATTTATCCTTCGCAGCGGGAAGTGTCCGACGACTGGTGTCGGTGGAATCCTCGCGTGCTCAGCACAAAGTTTACACACAAAAGAATGGGAACTGTCACCAGTAGGGGTGTGTGTTAGCAAGAATCTGGTGATACGATATTTGTCACGATACAGGGGCAACGATACGATATATTGCGATACTATAGGCACGACAGTTTACCCTCCCTAACAGCTTTTATTGTGGCAAAGGAGAGGAAGTAATCGTATCAGAATATTGCAGTATTTTGTGTGTGTGTGTGTATGAATGGCAGCTCCACCACCTGGTGGTGGTTTAGCATCAGTGCGTCGGTTTGTTCATGTTTATATTCATCCGACTGTTCTGTCTTCTGTTGGAGAATCTGTGGCAGTGTCAGGGGAGACGTTCTGGAATATTCACTTGAGCGCCCCCTAGTTTTCTGTAGGCTACATAAACACATTTTTTAATGGATATGTACTGTTTATTACCCTAGAAAATGTAGCTATAGTAAAGTTTATCATTTATTGTGACTTGGGCTGTGTATTGGCAAGAATCTGGCGATACGATAAGTACCACGATAGTATATATTGCGATACTATAGTTGTTGTTTTTCTGGCAATACGATAAGTATCACGATACACGGCAACGATACGATATACAGTATATTGCAATATATGTATTGCGATACTATAGTCACAAGTTATTTTTTTCCCCCAGTGTAACTGTAGTCCCAGTGTGATCCTAGTCTCAGACTCTGTTCCATCTGAACATCAGTTCCTAACTCTGGAACAGAGGGATCTACATTTGGAATCACTAGAGAAGAAAGAAAAGAACAAGAACATGAACCAACACCAGGAATATTGGACGGGGAATTGGGGAGAAAAAATCAATACAGAGCTGAAGAATATCGTGATATTTCAGCGTATCGATACTTTCTTACACCCATTTCAGCGTATCGATATTTTCTTACACCCACAGTCCCCAGCAGACGGAACCATCATGGAGATCAGACCGCAGTGACGCGACAACATCCAGGACGTTCTCCCGGTCATAAACTCTTTCTATGCCGACGATATAGTCTCTGACCTCAGACCAGGACAAAGTTCTGACACAGGAAACAATTTTATACCCTAGGAATAAAATAAAAAAAAAAATATTTTGTTCTCATCTTCTACTACTTTATGTGGATGGAGATCATTAGTGTGGCCAGTGTCGACGCAGAGCGACACAGTTGTCGGTCACAGAAACACAATAAATGAGAGAGAACTGCAGCAGCACTGGGAGCAAACATTCACTTTGGATTTTCTCTGTTTCCAACCCCATCCAAAATGATCCTTCAACTAGGAGGCCGTCATCAGTCTAAGGATTTGCGGCAGTAAGTGCTGTCCACATGCCCACCCTCCAGAACACTCTATGGTGTCGCAAATTTCCTCCTCCACTGGGGGACTTCCTAAAGGTCTCTCAAGCAGAAAATTGCTCTGTTACACCATTATCTTGGATTATGGCAATATTGTTGGTGACAGGTCCTGAGCTCTTTCTACGGGATGCATCGCTGCCGCCATCCCAGCCGCCGCTGAGCTACAGAGAGCCACAGTGTTATGGACCGTGACTCCCACAATCCTCTCTGCCGCGGATGTCTCCTCACCGGCTAAGCCCTGCTTCACCCAGATTTCAGGGGTTCAACGTGAGCACGCACAACATTCTACCGTCTTGTAACTTTCCTCGGCGTGCGTTAAAGAAAACAGAGTACTACGGTGTGAGTACTTTGACATTTAACAACTACTAGGTGTGAGTACTTTGACATTTAACAACTGTCAAGAACTATTGTACTACACCTTTGTAACGCCATCGTCGGCGATGTTTTTCTGGATCCATCAGAGATCTGATCTGGGCTGCCCACAGCGCTAACGTCTCCGTCGGACTCCTCGCCGTCGGGTAGCTCCTCCTCCGGTTCCGATTGGGTCAGAGAAAGTGACAGGTCGCTAGCCGTGCTCTCTGACAACTCCATGTCAGAACTCGCTGCGCTGGCGCCGTCATAGCTACCTGAACGTAAATGAACGTGTAAAGTGTCACAAAAGGTGCTTTTGGCGATGAGAAAATTCATACGTTACAATATTTTACCATGTGAAGACAACTGTGTAGATCATCAGGTTTCCATAGTGTAGTGGTTATCACGTTTGCCTCACACGCAAAAGGTCCCCGGTTCGAAACCGGGTGGAAACAACTTTTCTGTAATTTCCCAATAAAGTATTGATCTATCTAATATCATAATCATGATTAATCAACATTAACTTCATTCTTAACCATGACAAAAATGCCAGGGTTTTTCTGTTTTTATTTGTGTCTAATCTAAATGATGGAACCTGGTTCTCTCCAGACTTCCATCCAGTGGTTGTCCTCAACAACATTCATCAGTCTACAGTCCTGAACAATCAGATAGACTGTCAGTCCTAGACCGACTGACTGTCTGCTCTGACACAAGCCGGGGGCCGCTGACCAGAGGTTGAAGCACCCACAGACAAATGCTGGGAGTTGATGAAGGGACTTTTATGTGTGAGATGTTTTGTGCACGAAAAACATTTTCACACAGTGTGTGTAAATAACAACATCTGCATTGACCGCGTGTTCGAGCAACAACTATTGGATGTGTATAATTTTACAAAAAAAAAAAAACCTGATCATGAAGTGTTTGAGTATTGTTTAGTTTTCAAAATGTATCAAGTGGGCCGGATTGAACACCCTAGCGGGCCGGTTTTGGCCCACTGGCTGTATGTTTGACACCCCTGTATTGGACTGTTACTCTCAGTGTTTTTTTTTTTTACCATCATGTTAAAAGGTAACATGACAAAAGGTCTGTGGGTTAAAACATCAAACCGTCATGGCCGCCTGCCCTTCTGTCACTCTGTGACTCTGTGATTGGATCAATCACTCTCACCTGTGTCCAGGGCTGTTTGTCTCGTTGAGTCTCACTCGTCACACCTGGTGCCCAGGTTATATTTACCCCCTCCTCACCCCTCAGTCTGCTGCTGACTCCTGCCAGGTCAGTCACTCTGGTCAGTTCTATGTTTTTTTTGGTCTGACTTCTGTTCCTTGTTTTCTGTCTGTTGCTCAGACTTCAGTTCTGCTGCTTCCTGACCCGTGTTCTCAGTTCTAGGTTTTTCCCCCGGCCTAGCTTTAGTCTTTAGGGCAGAGGTCACATTTGGTTTACTGTGTGCTGTGTCACGACGACTTCACTTTCATACATTAATCAGTTCAGTTGGACTTTGTTTTTGAACCTGACTCCTGCGTCTCTGGAGAACTGCATGTTGGTCCTACCTTGACCCTTCACCTCCATGAGACAAAAACCTTAATTTTTATGTGTAAGTTCAGGAAAAATATTAGTAAATATTTTAATCACTCAAAGGTTTGGTCAGAGGCAGGAGACCTGGGTTCAAATCTGGGGAGGGGGATTTTTTTTTTTTTTTTTTTTTTTTATATATATATAAAGTGGATCCTCAGAAGTGTAGAGAAGGTAGTCCTGGGTTCGATTCCCACAGGAAGCACATACTTGGTGCCACCATGGGGCAGCCTGTTGCAGGAGCTCTGTTGGCACAATTCTTGTGCAAAAGTGTGGGATCAATAAAGTTTAAAATTATTTTTCTATTATAACACAATAAAGAGGTTGGTCTATAAATGTCAACATTTTAAATTTTTTAAAAAGTTTTTTTTTTCTGTATGCAAAATGAAATGATGGAAGTTTTCCAAATAAAGTTGTAATGTTTGAAAATGTTGTCAAAGTCTTTTCTCTTCTTAAACTCAAGTTTTTGTGTTTGAGCTTTTCAAGATAAAATGTACAAATTTGGTCTAAATATTGGACTGTTTTTTTTTTTTTTTTTTTAAGGCTTTTTTCACTCTGCTTCTTTATCGTTTTGTTTGAAGACAAAATGACTTGTTCCCAGGTTACAGCCGAGGAAGGTGTTCTTTGGGTTAGAAGTTGATCCCTTCTCCAAACAGGTAAAATCTCAAATAATTTGTCTCTAAAACGAGTTTAAATCTTCAGAACCATTTTTCCAGTTTGTCTTTTCAAGGTAACGTAGTAAGGAACAGCACAAACCTGCTTTATTTTGCGCTTCTCTCTCTGGAACGTTTCTGGGCGTGGCTTTATTTTGCGCTTCTCTCTCTGGAAAGTTTCCAGCCGTCGAATGATTGCGATCTCTCTGCGTAGCCTCATTTTCATCCCGATCTTGCGCAATATCTTCTTCTGCGGCTGAATTTGCAGACGATATCGGGTCGTTGCTGCAGGTAGACAAATTCTTTTCAAGACGAGTCGAGGTAATGAAAGGCAGAGGTTCCTTCTCATTATCACCAACAAATGTCTCGCCGCACGTCACGGTCGTCGGAGAAGAAACGGCGGGAAGCTGCGCCATCTTTCTTTCATCCTTGTCACTCAAATGATAGCCATCGGGGGAAGACTTTGAGTCTGAAATGTCATCAGATAAACACGTTCTGTTGCCAATGGCGTCCTTTGCGTAAACCGTGGAGTCCTTTAAATGGCCACCTGGTGGCCGTTCAGCGGAGTTCATGCTGGAACTGGGCGACCGTGGCAGTGCTTGGTGTGAGAGTACACTCGTTGTGCCACCTCCAGGGTCCGACGCTCCGGGGGTCTGGTTCTCCATCACATTTACTCCCGGTGATGGTGTCCATAGTTTTGGCGGGTGAGAGAGTGAGTCGTCGCAGCGCTTCCTCACTCTGATCTGTAAGTGTAGGAGAAAAAAAAATTAAATATAATCTTCCTTGCAAGAAATACTTTCATTACAGCCTATGAGATATTTCTACTTTATTTTTATTTTATTTTTTTGCTTTGGTTAAACAAGTCTATTTGAAAGAAATTCAAGTCAAGTGCATTAACTATGCACTTTACAATTCTGAATAAGTGTATTTTATATGGGCCAAGGTCAGCATTCTTTTAACATCCCTTTTTCAGAAGAATGTCTCAGCATCACTGATTCACTTTTAATCTTATTAGAAATCCTTTACACAAGTTTCGATTCATGTCTGCAATGTCACCGGGGGCGGGAGGGGAGGGCAGAGAGAGGAAAAAAAAAAAAAAAAAAAGCAAGCCTCCCCTCCGAACAGAATAACAAAACGCACGGCTTCTGTTTCTTTTCTGATAAGCGTCTTAAATACCAAACAGTTAGCTGCTTAATAACATTCACTGTAAACCGTGCAGTCTGCCCAACAGATCCACAAAGTAGGTAAAAAAAAAAAAAGAGGAAAAGTTAATTTCTTGGCTGAGTGATTCCATCGGTAGCTGCGGGGCAAAGTAGAAAGTGTTTCACTAAAGTAGCAATTGATTCTTCTATCAATCTGCGGCATGCGTGTGCTCTTCCAAGGAATGTATTAAATATGAAAATCATATCCCGTTATCATCTGTCTCCAGCTTTCAGCCCGGTAAGCTTCCCTTAATGAATGCTGCAGCCTGAGGGACATGCACACTGCAAGCCAATGGCGTGTATGCATAATAGAGTGACGGTACATTTTTACTCATTACAATATCGTCAGGCTGAGGGGAGCAGCAGCAGGAGGAGGAGGAGAGGGAGGGAGGTAGGGAGGAGAGGGGGGTGTTTGCACACTGTTACAAGTGACTGCTCTAGACAGCATGCTCCAAGTTATTATGAGCTGTCTTAGGCATTTCATCTGAAAAAAAAAAAGAAGCTTTAACTGCTTTAAGTGAGGGGAGGAAGCAGCTATGGGCTTGAACTACAGCGCTGCTACAGATACACAGGCGAGGATTAGAGGCACCTGTGCCATTATAGATACACAATATAAAATGTAGCCCCCTCTACAGGCTTACCAGGGCATCATCATTTTTTTCCTTGACGTTGTTACTCTAAGCCGGCAAACGCTGCTCCACAGAACTGACATTTGCATAAAAAACATGTAAACAAGTGCCGCCATTCATCTGTTTAAAACCAAGAACACACACACACACACACACACACACGTTTACAACTGTGTTACTTTCAAAAATTCCTAACTCTTATCCGCAGCCGTGCCGCTGGTTTGTAGCACGTGTTCATCTCACCTTTCCTGCTTCCACCTCCATTTCCTTTATTTTTCTCTCCTCCGAAATTCTTTTCAGACACGCCGCCTGTGGAAAAGGCAGAAACGTTAGGAACGTTACGCGAGCTGAAGGCAGATCCTGCCCTGCTTGACGGACGAATAACATGAAACAAAGTTAGAGAAAAAGTTAAAGTTTCTGCAGGTAAATCACGATCAGTACACGCTCTAGCCCAGGAGGGGGGGCAACAAGTGGATCGGGGATCTACCAGTAGATCTGGTAGATCGTGAGAATTTGGCATGTTTTTCGGAGTATAAGTCGCACTTTTTTTTTTTACCCATTGGCTGTGTTTGCGACTTATACTCAGGTGCGACTTATATATTAAAATATATAATTTCACACGTTTGCTGTTTTCACACTGACAGCCACTAGAGGGCACTCTAGACTTGTTTACCAGTATCTGCTACTACCCTATCACTGAAAATGTACATGTTTGTTATTTTCACACTGACGGCCTCTAGAGGGCACTCTAGGCTATTTTGCGACGCTAATCACTATGGCTAAAGTAAGTCGGACATTTAATCAAAGTACTCCTACATATACTTCCTACTTATATGAATAAATATATTTGTAGGTTCTTCATTGCAGGTAGATCCCTTGTCCCTGGTCTTTTATAAAGTAGCTCGTTATTGGTTGATACGCTGAATGCTATCTGTATGCGGTATTAAAGCAGGAGCCACGACAGTCAAGGCGACATCGTCAGACGTCTGTCAATCACGACTCAAATCCCAAGTGTGTGTGCTCTGCTCAGCTGACCGCCCCTGACCTTTTATCAGTGGAGACAGACTGACTGCTTTAATCCCAGCTCCAATTAAAAGCAACACAATGGTCTGGTGGAGCGGACACTTGGATTAACTCCAACATGCCATTCCGAACAACAGCACACGTTAAATACACGCACGTCAGAATTTTGTGGATTCTAACATCTGGAATGACGAAACACTAGCAACAATTAGTGAAAAGCAGAAGAACAGAACGCAGTCATTAAAAAATAAAACCCTTATTAACTACAAACTTGGTAAACTCTTAAAGTGATTAGAGAGAATGACTAAAAACTTCAGAGTCTGAGAAATGAATTGACTGAGTGGTGATCGTTTTGGTCGAATAGACGTTTAATTTCAAGCTTTGCTGTTGTGCTAATCTGAACAACTCGTTGTTTTCTCCCCTACTCCATAACAAAAGGCTAGGGATGTTACGATGCTCTAAACCCACGATACGATATGATTCACGATTATTTTGTTTTGTTCATTGTACAATTTTAATACAATATTTAATGTAACAAAATGAGCTCTAGACCAAACTGTGATCAAATCCACTGATCTCTCTTTGTCAGAACTGGGTCAAATCCCATCACTGACTGAAATTGCCTCATCAACTGACATGGTCTGTGAACCT